CTAATTCCACGGCCCTGCCGGAGAGCTCAGCACAGCCACCGGAGTCCTCCTCGCAATTAAGCCCCACCGAGCTTGGGGCAATAATTTCCCAAGCTATCTCGGGCGCGTTGCAGTCAGTCGGCATCGTCCAAACAAACCTTGCTCCCGCGGAAAGGAATTCAAGAACGAACACCCAGCCCACGCCCCAGCCCACCGTGGTTGAGGACGCCACATCAAAGGAAATCGAGGCATTGACGAACACCGTGGCTGCTGGTAGGCTAACCTTTCCGACTGAGAAACCAGAAGAAACGTTTTCGAGCGTCACTTTCGACCTCGAATCTCGGGTCTCAGATCGTGTCAAGGCAAAGATTTGGGCGAACGAATATGTAGATTTTGGGTCACTCCTCACGGTGTCCCCGGACGAGTCAAAGTATCGTATATCTGTCACGGATGATCACGATCACCCTAGTCTTTGCCTTGAGCACGTTAAAACAAAGCGGCGTAGCTTAACTATCGACCAATGGCTGACCGCGTTTAATGTATTCGTAGCTGTTTATACAATTAAGACTCCTAGTGCGATAAGCTCCCTAATGAAGTATTGTGAGGTGGTTCGGGACATCGCAGCAAAGCAAGGTAATTGGCGTTATTATGACGAACAATTCCGCTTTCTTCGTCAATCAAAACCGGACAGATACCCTTGGGACAACGTAGCTTGGGAATTGTGGCATCAGGCCTTACATAGCTCCCTTACCACCTCTCGGCCAAACTCTAACAATGATTTTCGAATCCGTCGGCCCAACCAGCGTCCCTTTCAGTCTTTTCCCAAGGGAGTGTGTTGGCGGTTTCATGCCGGTCAATTCTGCAGGGGATGCAATTTCAAACACTCCTGCTTCAAATGCGGATCTGTCCACCCAGCGTCCCAATGTACCGCTAAAAATATTTGTTGGTAAATAACACGATAATACATGATAGTTTTATTTTAAACTGGTTGTTACAGTGGGATTGGAAAATTTTCTTTTTAAACATATTACCGTCAGTTTTAATAATAATAATAATAATACGAAGTCACAGTTAACAATAGTCTCATTCAGGAATATGGTCATCCAGACAATCATGCTCCACTTGCTCCTGGGTTCAAACCTTTCACAAGGGTTTAAAAGTAATAACAATGATAGTAATTGCTAATAAAAATGCGACAATCATATTCTCATTTTTGGGTAAAAGGCATGCTTACCGACTGGTCCATACAGGTTAGCGATCAATCCATTTGATGTGGTCACTGATTGAAACTTGATTGCATGCACTCGTTTATGACCATTGTAGATGGTGCTCTGGTTTTCTTTGGGCTCACTAATAGGGCAAACTGTTGTGTCAATAAAGCAAAAACAGTGTTCAAGTGGGGCTCCCGCTCCCCTAATGCCATCTGCATATACCTGAAGGGCAGCTGGGTTAAGTAGCTGGTTATTCTAGTGGATAATTCTATGACCATGAGCTTGGTAAATGTAATCCACAACTTGATTTGTGATCATGCTAAGAACGGGGAGTGGTCATCCAAAGCGATATATCACATCCCTATAACGACAGGGGAAACTCATTCTCTTTAACATCCGACACAATCCTTCAAGGCCTTTAGCAGAAGATCTCTGTGGGCATCTAAAGGTCGCAGGAAAACCAAGCACATCAGCTAGCAAATGAATATCTCTTTTTTCTATCCTAAATTCAGCTTTGCATTCTGCTTGCTCCAATTCGTCTGAGTCAAGACGTGCATAATTATCGTACAAAAATTCTGGATTTCTTGACGTGTTTGAGTCTTAAAGAAGAAGAAGCTCTTCATTTGTTATAGCACCCTGACTGTGGCTTAGTAACGCCACGTCTGGAGTCTCTTTTAGCGACGACATTTGGGAGCTCAAAACGTAAACACAACCAACTGAACCAAGACGTCAATGTTCTGCAAAGCCCCTGCTTAACCTTCACATTTGGTGCCAAAAACGCAGGTCTTGATCCAGACGACGCGCAACCTTCTTCCCGTCCGTGACCTCAAGAACGTTTGCTGCTTAAGCTCTCTATTGTTGATCCGTGAAATGTCAACATGGTTGACTGCAATAAAGTGTGTCCAGTTTTTCTTCTTATTTCTTTTTTTCGAGTGGCAAACTGTCGGACAAAAATGCGAAATAAGCTGAGAATTCTAACGGTTACTGGACGCCAAAGAAGGCAAGTCTTACTGGTGCTGACATTGGTTACATCCGCCGAAGTTCGTCCACGTTATGCGTGTTCTCTTCCACGACCTCAAGGGTGGTTTAATCTATAATGTTAAATGCGCTCATTTACAATTATGACCCTTACTCGACGAACATTTCAGTTCGTAGTAAAGCTGGTCAGAAATTCAGTGGAAAAAAGAGATACCGCGACAATAATAATAACCGGCAAAGTGCCAACGAGCCGCAGTGGCATTGTGGCGTCTTGCCAGTCGGAAGCGTACAGAACTGTTGCCTCCATGTTCGGAATTGGAAAGTCTACTGCTGTCGAGATCAAAAACAGTTTTATTCACGCCTTACATGAACTTTATAAAGATTGGATTACATTTCCTGCATCAGTGCAAGAGACCGGTGAAGCCATTCAGCGATTCTCTGATAACAATCTCTTCAACATACTGCAGATTTTAGGCGCAATTGATGGATCACACATCCCTATAAAGTCTCCTAAGCACAATAAGGAGAGCTATTTGAACCGGATGCATTTTTACTTTATGAATCTCCAAGAAAATGTGGGCTTCGATGGTCGGTTTTTAGATATATCAGCAGGTTTTCCAAGTAGCATTCACGACAGCAGGGTACTGCGAATGAGTGGACTTTATGGTAGACTACCAGGGAACGACATTCTCCAAGGCCCTTACATAAATTTAAACAGTGTTTCTATTGGCCCTTTAATTGTTGGCGATAGCATCTACCCACTTTTCCCTTGACTTTTGAAACCTTGCCAGAATGTGCATAATTTAGACCCAACAAAACTTCAATTTAACACTGTCCTGTGTAAGATTCGTGTGATTGTGGAGCACACACTTGGTGTATTGAAGGGAAGGTGGAGATGTTTGCGAAAAGAATTGGAATCTTAGCAGAAAACGCCCCAGGAACAATAGCTGCTTGTATTCTTCACAACATCTGCATTGAAAATGTGGAGCCAGATCTTGACATTGATGACAGCGACGACGATGATGATAGCAAGGATGATTTTGTTGATGGGGGAACAAGTGCCAATGCAGACCCAGTCAGGGGTGTTTTGCAAAGAAATCTTTTACATTTGTAAACAAAAAATGCTTTATTGAGTTCTGTTGATGTCAATTCTTTATGTGATGGAAATAAATGCTTACATTTGATGCGTCTAGCATTTGTGATATTTACTTGAATAATGAAACTTTAACTTCACTGAAATATCTTAAATAAAATCAAGGCGGAACCTTTCTCATCTTGTGTAATCAAGAGTTCGACAACCTGATAGTTCATTAATAATGGTCATTAAATTTTCACTTGAACATTGAGCACAACATATTATCAGTGATTGTAACACTGAATGGGATGAGTTTTATAGCAACTAAATAAACAACCTGACTTACAATTTGTTAATTATTGCCATTAAAATTTCCTTTTACCTTTCTTCAGCCCTTTTTTCTTCTAACTGTATCAATTTCTCCATCATTTTGTCATCTCTCTCTTGTGCTTCTTGCAGCAACTTTACCTGCTTGTCTAGAACATTAATGAATCCCTCTGAGCTGCCGTTCTCGTCTGGTTTCTTAGCTGTTTCAGCCCTCGTCGTCTTACGTAACCTTTTACCGGGTGTTTGCTCCAAATTGCTTGACTTGCGGTCGCGATCGGCCTTGCTTTTCCCCCCTCCTTTTGATGTAGCAAGTGAGAACATTTCATCTCCATCACCAAGTTGATGTACATGACCCTTCTCTTCCTCTTGACCTGTGGCCTTTCTTTTAGTTTCGTATCCGCCTTTACTGGAATTAAAAAGAAATGGCGGGTTCATTACATCATTGGAACCAAAACCACAATTGACCATGTCAAACCAGAAAGGTTTGGCTTGAGTTTCCTGGCCTGTTTGCAATTCTTTTGTTTTTAATCTTCTTGTGATCTGGCGTTAGGTTATTTATCTTCTCCTTCATTTGTTGCAGGGCTCTGGGGGCCATGTTTCTGCTTGCTAATTCCCGATTGAAATCCTTGTCAAGGTTTTCCCATCGTTTGCTGTTTTACTAGCAAGCTTTCCCAGGGAATAAGCAGTTTCGTAGAGTTCCCACAAAAGAGAGGTTTCTGTATGCATCCAATCTCTTCTCTCTCTTGGACGCTTTGAAGAAGCAACAGTTTGGGGCGAGTCTGGCCCGCCTTCGATGCCAGATACAACCAGATTAGGGGGATGAACATCACTTTGAGGTTGGTAGAAGGGAAAATACGACTGAGTAAATACAAATCTTCTATTGCAGTGACTGTAGATTTGATTCACTTGGTATGGTGTACTTTCTTGCTGGGTAAAACAATGGATAATTTCCAAAGTTAAAAAAATTATTTAAAGTTAAAGCATTAAAATAGAACATCAAGAAAAGCTGGGACTCAACTTACCTCGTAGTTTCCGGAAAAGAATCCTGTGAGGAAGGTCAGGAATTCTTTTGCAGCAAATACAAGGACGGCTGCACAAAAGCTTGAAGGCTACACGTGTTGTTACCTTGTTGTATGTAAATTTTTTGTTTGTTGTTTTTGGTTTTCTCCTTGCTTCACGCTTGGTTTTTATTTTGCATGTTTATTTATGCTCATCTCGCACATGCGAAAAAAAGTGTCACATTCTGATTGGTTGTTTGTTTGTAAACTTAATACTGACCCACGAACCCTACTTGGGTATAACGATAGTTAGTCAGTATTGTTTCGGATCACCGAGGCATAAATTTTCTAACTATAGTTAGAGCGAACAGAGAAGCGGTCACGTGACCGAAATAGCTAACTATAGTTATCCCCATCTTAACTATAGTTAGTAGCCCAGATGTGACCGCAGCCATTGCTCTTAACTATTGCTTTAGTATTTTTAAAATCTTCCGGTTGAAGATTAAAAAGATTTGCAAGACTTGTTTGAAGAAACTTGAAACTATCTATAAATCTTATTTCAAAGTTTATTGAAACATTTTCACCTGTTGTTTTTTACTTGTACTCTCCTACTTTAATCGTCTTTGAAAATGGAATATACTTCTCTTCAGTTGATGGAATACATGATAAATCTCCTTTACTCTTAGCTAGTTGTTTAATAAAGAGATGAGAATTATACCCTTGAAGATGGCATTGGTTATGAGCAGCTCCTTGATAGTTACCAGTAAAATACAATGGTCTCTAACCTTCAACATTTTTGCAGTATCATCATCTTCGTAAAACTCTTGTTCTCATATACGGCATACAACTGAGGATAAAAAATCTTTTTGTTCTTCTTTTGGTAATGTAAGTGGTTTCGGTTTTTTATAGGAATTGTTATAAACCAACTCTATAAGAGATTTCAGTTTTTTTACAAATACTTCTGGCAGGTCTTCGTCTTCTGTTTGTTTAGTGTAAACGATTGGATTGATAGATACATAAATCGTTTATTTGAAATTACAACTAGCAGCTGTAAGCTGAATTACTTGTGTTAAGTACATGTTGATAGAAATGTAACCTCATAAAAATTCCCAATATATCATAAGAAAAACAACCATTTTATAATGATAAAATTACACGAAATCCAGTATAAAAGTTCTATTTATAATTGTTGCTTATCTGCATAGTGCAATACAAAAGAATTTCTAAACCTCTTTGTTTTTACACGTGGGATTGAAAACATAGGCCAATTCCTAAAGTCATATCTCTCATTATCGTTGCGCGTGGGCAGCAGGCCAGCTAGTTTATGCTGGCCATCGCTTTACACAATTTGTTTAAACAGAGTACTACATAATTCCTTGCGTCTAGGAACGAGTGTTTTTAAACCTGCATCTTCCAGGGCCTTGCTATATGAGACCTCTGGGAACAGAATCCTTAAGAGTGGTTGTCAGAGAAAACCGGGCAAAATGTTAAAAATGTCAACGGAAGGGGGTCAACAGAATTAGTTCATACTAACATCGTAGAAAGGTTAGGTGGAGTTATGAACAAATATACCAAACATAAGTCCTTTACTGCTCTTGTATTAGAGATACGAGCATCACTTTATTTGACCGACTCGGGCGCCATTTTTACAAGCAAATTTTGTCAATTTTCTGAAACTCATAGAATCCTTAAACTTGGACGACCGATGTTTATATTTTTTATACGATACAATACAACACAGGACTACTTTCTAAAACCATGATCTTTGTTAGACAGTCCCGGGCAGGGCTAAAACTTTTCAACTTTTCCTGACCTAAACTCGGTGTCTGTCGAAGAGCCTAAAATCGGTCTTTTTTAAATTAAGCTAGAGCGCACAACTATAAGGCTAATGAAAGTCTGACAGCTAGAATGCAGTCTACTATCATCCATGTACCCAAAACACTAACAATCATTTTGGGCCATTGAAACAGGAAGAAACTAGAATACTTACATTTCTTACGGTTACTCGACTTGGCATTAAAAACATCGCTGTTCGGTTCGTGTTTGCTGTTAGCCGTTCTGACGATTTTTCTGCGCTTGTGTGCTATTAAGTACCATAAGCAGTTAGAAAAATGTAGATAAACATAAAACATGATGAAATACCGCGATTGGTACGTATAAAAATGAGCAAAAGGTACTTAACCCATAGGGTAAACAAAGGAAATATCACAAGACCGCGCCATCTTGAAAATTCAGGGCGAAGGGAGGACTGGCACTAGCCAGCTATTACTTGGAGGAGCGTGGTCGCGGCGGGGGGGGGGGCGGCTTGGGGGAATGGGTTGGCATTAGAAAGTAGTGGCACCTTCGAGAGAGAAAAACCCTTTGTAAAAGTCGTCGGTAAAGCAAAGGAAACTCCTGGCCTTAGTAATAGTAACATTCTTGGAAAACAGTCTCAACATCATGATACCTCGTTTTAGCGAACATAATTATTTTCTTTGACCCTTCTTTATATCGAGGCTCCACTGTAACGGGGTGAAAAAGGAGTATTTCTTACTAAATTAGCAACCTAGCCCGATTGAATGTTTGATTTCCTTTTCGGGTTTATCCTTATTATTATTATTATTATTATTATTATTATTATATTATTATTATTACTATAATTATTATTATTATTATTTTTGTCATTATCATTATCATTATCATTATTATTATTATTATTATTATTATTATTATTATTATTCTCATTTTTCTTATTTTCTTCACCCTTGTCCTTATTTCGGAGGAAGAGCTAGGCGGGGACGAGGCGGGGGCTAGAGGTGGGGGGGAGCTGTTTCACTGATACCGTCATTCTCAATTTGTTAATTCCGTCTTGCCTTGTAACAGGTGAAAACAAATTTCTTCGCATATGTGCAGATCATTAGCTGCCAATATCATGGATCATGCCTGTAATGGGGTCTAAGTGGGATCTCCAAACTTCCAAATTTTTACTGTTAGCTGAAAAATGACGCTGTTCTGATAGCAGAGATCTGAGTTCGATCTGCTAACTAGATAAGAAATTGCCGAAAATAATTGGCTGATAACTGCGCACTTTTCTCGGGACGTCACTAATTAAATTTGGATACCTTGTAAGCTTCTCTTTGACTTGTTTAAGACATAAGGAAAAAGTTGACTACAAATGAGTTGTTCCTTTTCGTCAAGTGACAGCACATGCGGTCCAACCACGTACGCACCAGAAGACGCAAGTATCATACCTCTTAGAGCTTGCAGGAAGGATTTGTCTGGTTACCTCACTAGTCTAGGTGTGAGTGGCTGCCGCGGAATTGGCACAAGCAATATTCTAGCCGAATACGAACTTATTCTTAATCGTGCCGGCTTTTATAACCTGTCGAGGGAGGATACGGAAAAAATGACGATCTGTCCAAAGCACAGATACGAGCTTTCTACACATTTCCAGCAGCTTCCACCTAGATGCTCGTATCCAATTCACAGAGGCGAAAAGAAATCCCTGAAAAACCCTCGTCGGGTAAACAAGAAGGTCTCAGAAGAAATGTTCAGCCTATATCATGTGAAAGTTCCAATTGGTTCCGGTATGTATAATCCATCTTTACGCCTGTGTCTAATTTTGCTTTGTTTTAATGTTTGTGTTTTTCTTTCATTTGAAATTAACAAGCTATGCACCCTAAGATACCGTGACAAATTATACAAGTAATAGGTGAGGCGAGATATATGTGGTAACCAAAAAAAATTTGTTTCAGTTATCTGTAGCAATTGTCGAAAACAGCATGGGAGGATGTCCCAAGAACGTACAACTTGCGACAGCAAAGACGAGCTGGAGGTTTGATATGATGTTTTAAACTTTTTACAAAACTCAGTATATTTTTTCGTGACAAATCCTATGCTTTGTAATTAGATTTTGATAATTCAATATTCAAATGTTTACACAGGTGTAATGAGCTGGATGAAATCCAATTTTTTCCAACAGCTCTCCCAATGAGGGTGTTCTCTCTCTTTCGTTGGTGATCGTAATTGCACAATATGCAAAGTAATTTTGAATAATCTCCCGAATATGAAACTGTTGTCTTTTGAAAGCAAGGCAATTTAATTCTCATAGTTTTTCGGACAATTTTATTTCCGAAGCTTACATCACTAGGGCGGTTGAGTACGTCTATAATGATCTCGTAACGATAATCAAAGCATTGTAAAATAAGATAGGAATGTTTTATTAAATTGTAAACCGAAGCATGTTAGTTGACCGTCTTCATAAATATTTCCCTTAGCCAGAAAGGGTATTATTAAAAATTCAATGAATAATTATACCTGGGGGGAAGGGGGAGGGACTCTAATATGAAAGGGGCGGGGATGCTCGTCGTCTCGCTTAGGGGTGTAAATTTCAGATTTTGGTCTCGCTTAGGGTGTTCTGGGCAAGACACCATTATATTTAGCCGTAAAGGTCTCTTTTAGGGTTGCACTTGAAGAAATGTTAAAAAATTATGTATTTTCAATTCGTTTTATTTACTCGATTTATGTAATCAAAGTTTAAAATGATCGCTTTTAGGGGTCAAAAAAAAAGGTTGGGCCACGCTCAGATTGGTCTTCTTTAGGGGTTTAATTCCAAATTTCCGACAAGCATCCCCGCCCCTTTCGAATGGGAGTCTCCCGCGGGTAATTATAGCACATCGGTGTTACGTGACCTAAAAGTATAGTGGAAACTCGATATGACGAAAGCATTTATTACTACGTCCTCGGTATAACAAACGATATTCTTCACACCAGTAAAGAGTAACGTCCATGGAAAATAACCCCCGAAATGTGATTTAGTATAGCGAGCATATATTGGCATTCCCTTAACCATCGTCAGTTATATCGAGGTTCCACTGTATTCGTGAAATCAATTTGACTCATCATCCCGGTCACGGTCATACGAGGAACAGCAGTGCAAAAACGGAAAGAGATAATTCCGTTGTTCACGTTTCATTACATTCCCGGAATTGACCATAACGGGACATGTGACAGAAATACCGTATTTATTCGAATAAGCGCCCAACCTCGAATTAGCGCCCACCTCGAATAAGCGCCCATCCTAGAGGCAGAAAAAGTTAATAAGCGCCCAGCCTCGAATAAGCGCCCACCCCACCCTACTCCCTCCTACAAAAATTCCAATAAGATATAATAAGAGACCCTCCCGAAGACGGAGTTTTCTTCAAAGTAGTATTCTACAGAAACCTTGCTTTGCTACATCTTCGCTTTTTATTATTAGCGTTTACTATTTTGTTGCAAAATATACTACTAAACTTGAGAATGGTGAAAATTTAATAAGCGCCCAGCCTCGAATAAGCGCCCACTCTCAGGGTCCAAAAATTTAATAAGCGCCCAGGGCGGTTAATCGAATAAATACGGTATTTATTTTTCAAATAAAAGGCGAATTGAGTCTATCGATTTTTATTATGTTAATTTTAGAAGGTTATGATAAATTATCGCAAAGATGTGTATCAACATTCTTGAGTATTTTTTACGAAGACGGGTGAGAGATGAATAAGGATTGTCGTTGGAGAGTCGCTAAAGGTAGCGTTCAAACTTTTGAGAGGGATTTGATGACTAGTATAGATCATTTGTTCAATCCACGCGTCAGTTGCAAGTTTGCTACAAGTAAGTAAGTTACCGTATAATTAACACAATTTTTAGGAACAAGGAGATGAAAGTAATGACACTGGAAGCAAAATAAGTCCTGTGGAAGAGGCTGAAGAAACAAATTTAAACGCTGCATTTGCTTTTCTGGAAGTTTCATCAGATCCAACTTCACGACACGCAGAGGTTGAAATCACCTTGGATAGGACCGTTTGTAGCATTGAAGACGACGATCAGGAAGTCAGTTTTTGGATAGATGAAGAACAAAGTCATCAGGAAAGTCGCATAGTTTTGAATGAAGCCATTTCACGTATCACAGAGGGAAGAGTCAGTCCAATAGCATCGTCTCTCTGTTCGAACTGGGAAAGTACATCAAGCTCACAAAAATGTTATTATTTGCGAAAAGTACGCCAGGTTTTCTCTGCGGTTCTCTCAACAATTGCTCCAGATCAAGAAGATGAAGTATTTGAAGCTCTGCTGCGTTCTTCAGGCTATGACATTCAAGAGAAAACCCGCAATGATGTTAAGGAAAATGCTTTTAGCAACGAAATTCCAATTTTGCTTGAAGCTTACAACCAATCTGAAAGTCGTCATACTCGACTACAAATTCTATCTATGTTTTCCAGACATTTTTCGAAACGGGAACTCCGGGAGATGATTCCAGGTCTTAGTAAATGGCAAATCGATCGTGCTCGGCGTCATGCCGCTAAAGAAGGACCAGGGCATCAAGTGGTACCGATACCGATAAAACGAACACGCCTTGATCCCGTAAAGACAAGCCACTTTGTGAACTTTATCGCCAGACCAAATTTCCTTCAGGACGTTGCTTATGGCACTAAGGAACTGAAGCTTGATTCGGGAGAAAAAATCACTATTCCAAACGTAATCAGGACAATGGTTTCCTCCCGGTTAATAAGACAATACATCTCGTTTTGCCAAGAGACAGGCTTTGAACCTGCAAGTGAACGAACTTTGTACAGGATAATTGACGTTTGTTCCGCTTCCAAGCAGAAATCAATGCAGGGGCTGGATTATTTTTCAACGGAAGGAGCACAAGCGTTTGAAACCCTCCAAGTTGTCGTCAATACTCTTGAGAAAGGAGGCGCTGATTCCACTTGGGCTAGGGAGATGTCTAAAACGCTGCAGGAGACCAAAAGATATTTGAAAACCGATTACAAAAGTCACGTGGGACAAGAGGAGAGATGCGCGGATCACTGCACGAATTTTAGTCTCAGTGACCCTCAGAACGAGGCCTTCAGGCAGCAGTGCGACCACATTCACAATGAATTATGCAACTATTGCTGCAAACTGGATGAAGTTCTCAGTAACATTATGAACATGATAAATTGTCCAAATGTGACTCTCACAGACCAACAGCAGAGTCAAGTGGCGTTTGACCTTACCCATGCAGTGGAAGCAATCCACGATTGGAAAGCTCATCTTCTTCGATCCATTAACCAAGAACAAGCTAAGCAGGACGTTCTCAGTGCATTGACTGACGACAGCGTTTTAATCATAATGGACTGGGCCATGAAGTACCTTCCGAAAAGATACAGAGAACAAATGAGCGACTTTTATGGTAAACGGGGGAAGAGTTGGCATGTTGCTTGTGTTATTTTCAGGTCTGGTAGTGAAAGTCACTCGGTAGAAACCTTCGTTCATGTCTTCGATACTTGCACCCAAGACTGGTTTTCTGTTGTTTCTATTCTGGAGCACCTCCTTTCAACTATTAAAGAAGAGCACAAAAATGTATCGACGGCTTATCTTAAATCTGATAACGCAGGCTGCTACCACAATGCCTCATTAATTACTTCTCTCAAATCTATTGGAGAAAGAGCAGGAATTCACGTTCGAAGATTTGACTTCTCTGACCCACAGTCAGGGAAGGACATTTGTGATCGCAAAATAGCACCGATGAAAGGGCATATCCAGCGATGGGTCGATGAAAGGCACGATGTAATTACCGCAGGTGACATGAAGGAAGCGCTGGATTCTCATGGTGGAGTGCGTGGATGTAGGGTGGCAGTATCGGAGGTTGATATTTCAAAGGCGAGTGAGACGGTAGAATGGAAAGGGATAAGTACATTGTTCAATTTTGAGTTTTTAACTACAGGAATCAAGGCGTGGAAGGCTTATGGAGTCGGTGAGGGTCAGCTGTTTTTATATGAGAACCTAACTCAGTGTCTGCAAGGACCAACATGTCTTCGCGTCATTATCCCTTTTACGACCAACAAGGCAAAGGCTCAGCCAAGTTTGATGTCGAAAACAAAAGGTCCCGTAATATGTGAGGATCTTTTTATGTGTGAAGAGGAAGGATGTGTCGCCTTCTTTCCTACCCAAAGCGATCTACAAGTTCACATGGACACTGGGCGACATATCATGGTTATGGAACGTGAAAGTACTTACGATTTGGCACGAAAAAAGTGGGCAGAAAAAGTGACAGGAGTTCAACTATCGCACTTTGCTGGAAAAGCAGGAGTAACACAAGAAGGCAGCGGCACGGTCACTTTATCGAGGAAAGAACCACTCCAGGGCTGGGCTTTAAAGAAACAAAGGAAAGGCCAGCGAGCAACCAAGAATGTGAAGAACTTCCTGCTTGAAAAGTTCAATAGTGGAGTAGAAACAGGTAACTCGACTAACAAATTTTTCCGCTTTACCCTTGCGGTTTGGTTTCTATTTGAACTACTGCTTTTAAACGTAAGGTAAATCAAGTGTATAGAGAGCAAGTTGAAATAAAAACCAATCATGGCCAGAAATTGAGGACAAAATGGCGCTGGAGCATGCTCGTCATTTACTTTTCCCGTTCTTTAAATATGGCGACCATATGAAGGATGAATGGGGAGAAAAGAAACTTTTAAGGATAAATAAAGTTAGACGAAGAATCGCTCACCTCCCCACGTCTAAACCTTCGCGAGGCGATCGTGGCTTTCAGTCATGTTAATTTGCCAATGTGTCAAGCTCCCAAAGTTGGTTCGTGAGTCCCAATAAAAAGATGGCTTTCCTTGCCATACAAGAGTCTGTAATATTGCCTAAGCGCTTCTCTTCAAGCAAGAAAAAAGGTAAATTAGATGTCGGTGTTTCCTCCTTTCCCACGTCCTGTTTCTTGAGGGATATGTTTATCTTCATTTTTGTAGGGTTTTAAAGGTCTAACTTCTTTGCTAAACCAGTTCGTTTTTTCCGTGAAATATAGCAATTCCATAGAGTGAATCTCTGCGCCATTACTGCACGAAGCGACCGAAAAAGAAGGCACTTTGGAGACTTTTTCAAACGATAACTTCGATCAGCCGCCATTTTCAAAACAGAGAGGTTACCAAGCCAGAGTGACACAGGGAGCCCCGTTTTGTCAAGATCGGACGATCACAGGAAAGCATCAGCCGAGAGTTGATGCTTGTCTAATAGGGACTCAGGGTAGATTTTGCACAGCTTGGACTTTAGAACCAGTGTTAGGTTTCGCATTTATTTGTTTTTACATATGTCAAGTAGAATTACTTGAGGCTAGTAAATTGTTAATCTACAGCACGGTAAAAAGTATACGTTCGCTTCCCCGCCATTTTGCAAATGTATAAATCGTCATTAGCTATTGAAAATCCCTAAAAATGAGCCTACGGTCAAAACCGCTGGCTGTCCTCGATTTCTGGCCATGCCTCGTAAATTTCTGCCCAATAAAATACCCCATGCAGTTAAAGAAAATACGCAACTGAATTAAGCCCGTGAGGGGAACGTGTTTTAAGTTGAGTTCAGTCCTGTCAGTTCAGTCCTACCTCAGTGTATCGTGATGAAAGTCTTTAAAAATATGATTAAGTGTTTTCTTATTACAGGAAACAAAGAAGACCCAGTCAAAGTAGCAAATGAAATGCGCTCACTCAGGGATGATAGTGGAAAACTTCGTTTTGCTCCAGAGGAGTGGCGAACAGCAAAACAAATCAGCAGTTACTTTTCACGACTCGCTGCTGCACAACGTCAAAATAAGGCTGTTGGAAAACTCCTGGATGAAGCTGAAAACATTGACGAAAACGACTTGCAGACTTGGGACAACGAGCAAAGGCTGAGGGAGTTACAAGAATCATTATACGATCAAGTGGATTTGCGTCATCCCATCATTTATGATGGTCACGACATTTGTAGTCTTGCTAAGCGGGGAAAATTACAGGCAAAGTTTAAGGTCGATCAACTAAAAGAGATCTGTGACACGTTTGGGGTAGTTATCGAAGGGCCTGTTGGTCGTAAGAAATCATATATTACTCCCATTGAGGCCCTTGTTAAAACATGCAGCTGCTCTAAATAGGTTTTTTCTCCTTTACCCCATCCAAGTCTCTAAATAGCTCTTGTCTTAAAGGTAACACGCAATTGTTTGCGTCCGTGATTGTGGTTATACTCCTTTTGATTGTTTTAATTTCACGCCTGGGATCATAATCAAGACTGGAGACTGTAACTAAAGCCATTTTAAAATAAATTCGACCGATACATGACGATTCGAGATCTTTTCTAGTGTTACATAATCAGTACACTATAGAAACACGTCCTCTATTATATTGTGATAATGCCTTTCAGTCTCCGTTCTTTATTATTGCTCCTGTTTGGCATAGCATAACTTTCTTTTATATAGATTGTAATGTTTCTATAATGTCAGTGATAGGAGCAGTACAATTGGAAGTTTACGGCTTGAAGGTTCCTTTTTGCTCACGATCACTGTTGTCAGTATTCACGAAAGAATTTGCCGTGTATAAGACAGATCTTATTTAGGGAAAAAATGAACTTAAGAAAAATCAAAATTTTGAACTGCTAGGAAACAAAAAGACAAAACTAGAAGAAAAAAAATACAAACTTGGGCGTTAGATATAATCTGAAATTCATGAAAGTGAGATACGTAATTCAGTTACGCTTTCGTTGCACTATGTTGCATATAATTGTATAGACAGTTTGGTGCAGTGGGCAGTGGTTTTAGTTTTGGACAAGGAAATAAGGGATCACCAGGAACCACAGGCATCATTTTTTGTCTCTGCGCATAAAAATAACAGTTTATGGGAGATCCGGCGGGTACACAGACGCGGTCGGCTGTGATGGGAGAACGAAACAAAAAGATGATAGATTAAAAGCAAATTAAAGAAGCTAATTTTGATCATATGTGCACCGCAAAATAAAGGCTAAGAAAGGTGCTTTATCATATTATCTGAAAAAAAAAAAGACTTTCTGTAAACGAGGGCCTTGAAATTATAGGGACTTTCGACACTACTAGTGCCAGTCCCTCCTGAGAGCTGAACTTTCAAGATGGCGTCGCTTTGCTTTTTCTTAAGTTCTCTTACGATTTAACACCTTTTGCCGTTTTAGAATACAACAGTGGCGGTATTGCGGGCTGTTTAACATTTCTCTACCTGCTGATCATGCTTAAAAGCGAAATAAGGAAGGAAATATATGAAGAAGGCTTGAAATGAACACGAAGGGATCGGGATCCTTTGCAAGAAAATTTAGCAACTTGACTATAACTGTGAGTATTCTAGTTTCTTCCTGTTTCAATGCCCCAAAATGATTTTTAATGTTTTGGGTACATGGATGATAGTAGACTGCATTCTAGCTGTCAGACTTTCATTAGCCTTTTAGTTGTGCGCTCTAGCTTAATTTAAAAAAGACCGATTTTAGGCTCTTCGACAGACACTGAGTTTAGGTCAGGAAAAGTTGAAAAGTTTTAGCCCTGCCCGGGACTGTCTAACAAAGATCATGGTTTTAGAAAGTAGTCCTGTGTTGTATTGTGTCGTATAAAAAATATAAACATCGGTCGTCCAAGTTTAAGGATTCTGTGAGTTTCAGAAAATTGACAAAATTTGCTTGTAAAAATGGCGCCCGAGTCGGTCAAATAAAGTGATGCTCGTATCTCTAATACCAGAGCAGTAAAGTAGAATACAAACCATATAAACAAGTATTGAGGTGGATTGGAAAGATGCTACAATCATACTTGATTAAGACAACTGGGGGAAGGCAACTGTAAAAATTGTAAAACGGGCCAAAAGAGACTGTTGGTGAGAATTGACTCTCTTCTGAACCCTCTCTATTTGGTCGGACTAATAGGCTGACAAGCTGGAATGGAAAGCCTGCCATGCATATTCTAGGAAGGAACGAATGCATGCGCAATCAAATTGAATTAGGGACTCACGTGTAACAATGTTAATTTATGCATGTCAAGTTAATTTATACAGTTTAGTTTAATCTGGGATCTTGCATGTTTTCGCGCTCGTCAGTTGTTGATGTATACTTGGTTTATAAGATTAAAAACGTTGTGTTTAAGTGCTCTGGTGTTCCATCGTCTGTCTTAGCGAATACGTTACATGGTGTCAGAAGTGAAAACCAGTCTCTGCAATTGGTGCCGTTGAGGGATTACCGCTCAGCGTACCGGACAGTGTTCTGGAGAGAGATTTGTTCACAAGCACGTGGTTGAGCAACTCTGATCTGCGAACTGATATTTATAGGAGATAGTCTCGGATCTCTGCTGTGTTCAGCGCTAGCCACTCATAACCTTCTTTACAATGAATAGCGGAAGACAACGGTGACTGGAATCGTCTTGTGTTTTCGAAAGGAAATCTCTGCTGCAGGAATCTAGCTGACTTCAAATTACTAAGTATGACAGAGGGTAGCGGCGCATCCGTGCAAGTGCAAGAAGCCGTCGCACAACCAAATCTGATACAAATCCCAATGCCCTCAAAACCCTGCTGTAAATAAATCGCTGAGAACTGCCACACTGCTAACCTGCATTGGCTCAGATGCTCTAGATGTGTGCGAAGGCTTAGAATTCGAGAATGACGATGATAAGAAGGACATTGACATTGTTCTCCAAAAGCTACAGCGTTTTTGTCTCGGAGAGACAAACAAATCTACGAGAGATACCGATTTAACAAGAGAGACCAAGAACCAAACGAGTCTCTGGATGCTTGCGTCACGGCCTTACGCACGTTGGTGAGGACATGTAACTTCGGAGTGTTAGAGAACAGTCTAATTAGAGACAGGATTGTCATTGGAGTAGGAGACAATCAAGCTCGCAAGAAGCTCCTATAAGTGTCCAAACTCACATTGAAGGAATGCATTGGTATCTGTAGATCCTATGAGACCTCAAGCCAACAACTGAAAGAATTTAATCAAGAGGAAGTCAGCGCCAATAGTCAGTCCAATGAAAAGAAACCTAGAGAAATTCACTGCAAGTTCTGCGCCAAAACGCATGTCTGGAACAAGCTTAAATGTCCTGCATGGGGGAAGACTTGCTCTAATTGTGGCATTCCAAACCACTTTGCGGTGGCCTGCAAAAACAAATCGCCTCCACCCAGTTCAGCCACATCCTCTAAACCTCCCACATTGAGACACGTCTGCAAGCCAGTACATGCAGTGGAGGATTCTGACTTTGACGAATATGTTGCTTGTGTTGATATCAAGGAGCAAGTCTGTGCTGTGGAAAATCCTGATCGTAAAGACAAACTGCTTGTGGTAATGCTATTAAATGGTCATAGAGTCCCATTCCAACTGGACACTGGTGCAGCAGTGAACATCTTACCTGAAGAGTCTTCCAAAGAAGTATACGGTGAAGGCAGCCTATCCCTGCTGGACAATGCGGACATAACTCTTGTTATGTACAACAAAACTGAGGAGAAGCCGATTGGCAAGAAACGTGTCCAAGTTGTGAATCCCAGAAATGGAAGAAAATACAGTGTGGAATTTGTAGTTGTAAAAGGAATAGGTAAGCCTCTGCTTGGCTCACGAACCAATGAGCAAATGCAACTCATCTCTGTGGTCCGACAAAACATCATGCCTATTCAGTTTGAAGAGCCTTCGCAGAGCAAACACCACTTATAGCAGAATCTATCCTCAAAGAACATGCTGATGTATTCAGGAGAGAAGGAAAGTTAGAAGGTGATCTCCACCTTGAACGTTACCCGAACAACGAGTTCCTTTGGGATGACCAAGTTCGTGGTGCAGCCCTGGAAGAGACAAAGAAGATCCTTTCTACAACTCCAGTCCTAAAATACTTCGATCCAGGTGCCACGCCCACACTAGTGTGATGCCTCCATGCATGGCCTGGGAGCATGTCTAATGCAAGATGGACATCCAGTCGCATATGCGTCCAGGTCGCTGTCCCCTACAGAGGTCCAGTATGTGCAAATCAAAAAGGAGCTATTGGCCATAGTATCGCAATGGAGAAGTTTGAAACCTAACTGTATGGTAGGAAAGTGCTGGTTGAATCTGACCACAAGCCTTTGGAAGCGATCTCAAGAAAAGCCTTTCAGCGCAACAAAAAGGCTACAATGCATGCTTCTTAGACTCCAACGCTACGAGTTTGAAGTTTCTTACAAAAAGGGACCCTCCCTGCTTATGGTTGATCCCCTGAGTCGTGTGTATCTGTCGCTTAAAGAAGCCCCTGAAGATCAGGAGAACGTCATGGCAGTCTCAGAAACAAGGTTGCCAACAGAGATAGAAGCAGAGCAAGTAAACATGCTACAGTATCTTCCAGTGAAAGATGAAACCCTCTGCCAAATCCAAAACCTTACTCAAGAAGATGCAATTCTCAAGACCCTCGCTGGCGTCATTAAACAAGGCTGGCCAGAAAGTAAGCTCCATCTCCCACCAGAAGTTCAAGACTACTTTCCTTTCAAAGAAGAGCTTACACTTCAAAATGGAGTTATTTTCAAGGGAGACCGTGCCGTCATACCATTTCAAATGAGAACTGAGATCAAAAGGAAGCTAGACTTCAGTCATCTGGAAGTACAGGCATGCCAGAGACGAGCAAGGGAAGCTTTCTACTGGCCTGGCATGTACAAGGAGATTGAAGAATATGTCTCCCAGTGTGCAGTCTGGAATACATACCACCAAGGGCAGCAGAGGGAGCCCATGATCTCACACCCAGTACCATCAAGACCATGGCAGGTCCTTGCTGTTGACCTCTTTGAGCTCCGGAGCCAGGACTACCTTTTCACTACTGACTATTACTCAAATTTCTTTGAGGTCGACAAGCTTGTTACTAAGACATCAAAAGAAGTAATTGAAAAGCTCAAAATAGTACGTTCAACGATCGAAAATTCTACGCTAAGGGCTTGTTTATCATATGATAGTACTTTAAATTACTTTCTTTGGTCAAGTAATGTTGCCTCACTCAAGATTTTGGTGTCAGAAATTTTGAAGAACACGGCGATTGCTTCAGCCGAGGTGAACGAAGATAAACATCACAAAATGCTCTCATTCAAGGCCGCGGACTGTACAATTAAATTGTACACTACAAAGAAGATCAATATTCAAGGTTCTGGCAGTGCAAGTTTGACAAAGGCATTCTCGGACTTTTTGAACGTTAAAGACAACGGAGATGAAGCAATGTATAGTAATAACGGCGGCCAGCAAAGCGAGGTTCGGCAGCAGATGAACATATTGAGACATATGCAATAGAACAATTAGATCTGACGGATGCTTTGACTACTACAAGTCAGGATGAAGTAAAATCTGATTTACAACTAATAAAAGAGGAAATAAAGAGGGTGAAAAATGATATCTCGTATATTTTGAATAATGGCGGGAAAATTAACATATCTTCTGCTAGTGCGGCTGAAACTGAAAATCTGAATTTCAGATTACAGGAAGAGAATATTCTACTTTGTTATCAACTGAAAGTCGCAAAAGATAATCTAGCCGAGCTGAAGGAAGTGATAGGAACCATTGAAAGGGAAAAATCAACTCTTATTTCAACGATAAGAATTCTCCAACAAAATGATTTAAAGCTCAGTCAAGAAGAAGCATATAATTTTACGGCTGTTGGGACAACAACAGAAGCTGTCAAGCCATCAGAAGCAGTCACGCAAACAAGTATCTCTGCTATGAGGCCTGCAAAGAACACCAAACAAAACGGCAAAAAGAACCAGAGCCAGAAGAAGAACCAGAAAGACAGTGGCGACCGAAAAGATAAGAAAAAAGAGCAGGAACACGGCCTGCAGAATATATTGTTAGAATCAAGTAACTCATGGCCCGGTGCAAGCTTCAATCGGCAATCTGAGCAGCAAGATTCAGAAAATCGGGTAGTTATTCTTGGCGATTCTACTGTGAAGGAATAACAATGGTGGAAAATGTCAAAAAATAACACTAAAGTTCAGATGAGGTGTTTCCCGGGTGCCACAGTGAGCGATATGGAAAGCTATGCCATATCAACTGTTCGTACCGATCCAAGTGAGATCATATTACATGCTGGCATGAACATCATCACAACAGATCTCCTCGGGAAGTCGCAGAAGATATTATAAATCTGTGCGAAGACATATCGCAGAATACCACAGCTAGTGTAACCATTTCAGGCCTCACCCATAGAACAGACATGGGGGACAAAGTAACCGAAACGAACAGGATTATCAAGTCATTTGTAAGTGGCCGTGACTTAAGTTTTATCGACAACAGCAAAATAGGAAGCAGCATGCTGAACAGTAGTGGCCTGTACCTAAATCAGAAAGGCAGCGCAGCACTTGCTAAGAATATTTTAACTCATATTAGTAATTGTTATTGATTTAAAGAAGTCAACAGTTTTTTGCCCGAATGTGAACCAAATTGTTATGATGATATGACCTCTGCCTTGAAAGTAAGGGGCTTCAAAATTGCGAGTATTAATATTACAAGTCTCCCGCTGCATATTGAAGAGCTTCGACTAATTATGGCTGATCAGTGTCTTGATCTGCTAGCTGTTAATGAGACTAGACTCGATTCTACAATAACTGACAACTTGGTTCATATTGACGGCTATTCAATCCTAAGAAAGGATCGAAACTGTAATGGCGGCGGCGTGTGCATTTATCTTCGATCGAATATTAATTATTGCTTTAGAAGTGAAATAATTCCCAATAACGAGTTTGAAATGTTAAGTGTTGATATTAAAAAGCCTTATAGTAAAGCTTTTAACGTAATTGGGGACTACAGGCCCCCTAGCTGTACGGTTGGCTTCTTTGAAGCTTTAGAAGCTATTGTTCGCATTATTGACATGGAATCTAAGGAACAAATTATCTTAGGCAATTTAAATTGCAACTGTCTAGCGGATAGAAATAACATGCATCTGTCTCAGTGGAAGCAATTAAGTTCGACCTATCAGTTTCAACAACTAATCAATGAACCTACTAGAATCACACCAAATTCTAGTACACTTATTGATATAATATCAAATGAACGCTCAAGGATTTTAAAATCAGGAGTGGTGCATATGGAATTAAGTGACCATAGTATGGTCTATGCAGTACATAAGTTTGCCATTTCATCTAAAAACACTCATACGCGTGTGACCACTCATTCTTTTAAAAACTTTAATGCAAGTGCTTTCAGAGAAGACCTAAAGTCAGCGCCCTGGGATAGCCTAAGAAATTGCACTTCTCCCGATGAAATGGTTGTAATGTGGGTAAATATGTTTTTAAAAATAGCTGACGCTCATGCGCCCATAAGAACGCGGCAAGTAAGAAATAAAAAATCCCCTTGGATTACTACTGAGCTGAGGGAGCTGATAACAGGTCGACACAGACTGAAAAGGCAGGCTATACTGACAAAACAGCCATCTTGCTGGGATAAATATAGAAAAGAAAGAAATAGAATAAATAATGAGATTAAAATGGCAAAAGCGCATTATTATAAATCAGAAGTGGAACAAAATGTGGGTAACCCGAAGGAAATATGGAGGACAACCAATGAGTTAACATATCGTAACTGCACTAGTAATTCTTCAATAAGTGAACTAAAAAGTGGTGATAATTCCTTCACAAAACCCACAGAAATGTGTGAGATTTTAAATGACCATTTTACATGTGTCGATCCAAACCTAGCCTCAACACTGCCTAGTGGAAATACAAGTTTTGACTCATACATAAAGCCTGTTTATATGACTTTTAATTTACAACATACCTCTGCCACTGAAGTTTTAAAGTTACCAGGTAAATTATCTTCGAACAACGCCACTGGCCTTGATAACATCTCATGTCGGCTTCTAAAAGAAGCTGGCCCAATTATTGCCACTTCTTTAGCCTGTATGATAGACAAAACCATAGATACTGGCCTCTTTCCTTCACAGTGGAAAATGGCTAAAGTATTTCCTTTGTATAAAAAGGGTGATCGCACAGATGCACAAAATTATAGACCAATATCTGTCTTGCCAGCCATTTCTAAGATTTGTGACAGGGTAGTCTACGATCAACTACACGGTTACTTAAATTCAAATGGCCTGTTAACAAAAAAACAGTCTGGATTTCGTTCCCCTCACTTTACAGTGACAGCGCTGTTACATTTAACAAATAATTGGTATCTTAACATTGACAAAGGCATGACCAATTTAATTGTGCTTCTCGATCTTGCCAAAGCCTTTGATACCGTTTCACATAATATTTTATTAAAACAGCTTGAGCTCTGAAGGATGTAACGCTCGACTGGTTTTCATCGTACCTATCACATAGGCAACAGCAGTGTGTGGTAGAGGGCTGTGTATCTAAGTCCCAGTTGATAAGTTGTGGAGTTCCACAGGGTTCAATTTTAGGCCCTTTGTTGTTTTAAATATATATCAATGATCTCCCTGGATGTCTTCTCCATACCAAAGCACACATGTATGCCGATGATACCCCATATATATGCGTCCTCTGTATCCACTGCTGAACTATATGCCAAGGTAAATAATGACCTAACTCGCATTAGGGACTGGCTTCTTGCAAATAAGTTAAGCTTAAATGTCAATAAAACGGAGTATATGTTCTTAACAACTACCTTCAAATTATCTAACTTAGGAAGAGACTTTCCAATTAAGATTGGCAACAATCGTGTTAAACGAGTCCAAAGAACAAAATATTTAGGAATTCACT